CAAGGTTGGTTTCTGATGAGACCTCTTTTCATGGCTTGTGTGTCCTTCATGCTATGACCTCACATGGCTCTTTCTCTGTGTGCATGAGTACAGAGAGAGAAAGCTCTGGTGTCTCTTTCTCTTTTTATAAGAATACCAGTTCTTTGGGATCAGGGCCCCACCCTTATACCTTATACCTTATATAACCTTAGTTTCCCCTTAAAGACTATATCTCTGAATATAATCACTTTGGGGTTTAGGACTTCCACATGTGGATTTGGGGCTGAGGGGGACACAATTCAGTCCATAACAATATCTCAAAACAAAACTATGATCTACAGCCAATCTTTCCTGAATATTTTATCTCAAAGCATTCTAACCCAAGTGTCCCTTCACCTCCCCCACCCCTCCTACCACTATTCCCTTTGTACCCTCAGCTTCTCGCTGAATATTATTTCTTCTTACATTTTACTACACATTTTAAAACTGAAAGAGTCTAGGAGTGGCTGTTGCCTTGTGGCAACCTAAGGAGCCATCCTGGAATAAAGTAAGAAAGACTTGATCACCTAGGAACTAGACCTTTAAAGCTTTAAGTTTGGGGGCTTGGCTATTTATCCTCCTTTTATTATGGAAAAAAAAAAAGAGAGAGAGTTGAAGGAAAGATAAGGTCATTGGATAGGCAGTGAGACTTGGTGGAAAATGCACTATGAGAGGGAGTAGGTAGAAGCTACTAGATGGTAATTGAAGAATGTAAGGGTATGAGGAGAGGTTCATCTTAGTCTGTGGTCTGAAGGCCAAAATCTAACTGGGAATCAATCAGATAAGAGAAGACTCTCTGAGTGAAAGGGTAGAGAAGACAGATGAGCAAAAAATAAATACTCCCTTTGGAGGAGAAAATAAATGGGCTCAGCCAAGAGCAGCTCTGTACCAATAAGTAACTACAAATATTGGCTGCTGCTACAGTTTGTTCTTATTAACCTTTGTATTATTCCAAGTGCAAACAATATCCTTGCAGTTTCAGAAGGATGGTTCTTTAGTTTTTAGCTTACATTACCATTAGACAAAGAAAAGAAATTATGTTATTTTTTTTTGTCTCTCTGTGGATTACTGACCTCAAAATCTTCCTTTCTTCATTTAATTGATTAATAATAAAATGTTGACTTTAGCAAATGAATGGAGAAAATTGGGAGACAAGAATTCCAGAAACATCGAGTCTTCACTTCTTGCCCCAATTCTACCACATCACAGTGATTAGGATGCTTTGAAACCCTCCTTAAAATGTCAGCATTTATTATTTAAGATCTTTTCTAAAATGCATGACTCTATTTTGGGTGAATAATAAAATCTTTGATCATTTATTTACACATGGAGTTCCAGAATCAATCTCTATGAACACCAATTCTTGTATAATATCATATGGGGAAGATAAATAAAGGAAATGCAGGATTTAGGCTTCAAGTGCATCCCTGAGCAGGCACAGAGATGCATTTTGTTTGTTTTGGTACAAAGTCCTTTACATGGCTTTATTCTATTGCTGACACTTTTAAGATTCATTTTCCAAAACAGAGGACCACAAATTTTGGTGGAGAGCTCTGGATATTTAGCTAAAGGATTTTTTATTATTTGGGTCACTTTGGTACACTTTTCCACCAACTCCTCCTCATCACTTCACTTGGTTAGGTCTCCTCCTACCCCATCTGTTCCCAGTTGATCTCCTTTGCTCTATGACCCAGTCTCTTTGACCTTTAAATCAGGAGTCTCACTGGGCTCACTCCTGGTACAGTTTTGATATTAATACTCCTTACTTAATCCCATCCAGTCTCATTGCTTTTTGATGGTTCTCAAAATTATATCCGTGGCCCCAACTTCCCCTACCCCAAAACTTAAGCTAATTCCTCCAACTGCCTGTGCAGTGTATCCACTGTGAGAGTGGATAGGCATCTCAAACAAAACAGCCAAAATTGAATTATAAATTTCCTCCCCAAATCTATAGAGAGCTCTGGATTTTTAGCTAAAGGATTTTTTAATTATTCTGGGTCACTTTGGTACACTTTTCCACCAACTCTTCCTCATCACTTCACTCGGTTAAGTCTCCTCCTACCCCGTCTGTTCCCAGTTGATCTTCTTTGCTCTATGACCCAGTCTCCTTGACCTTTAAATCAGGAGTCTCACAGGGCTCACTCCTGGTACAGTTTTAATATTAATACTCCTTACTTAATCCCATCCAGTCTTGTTGCTTTTTGATGGTTCTCAAAATTATATCCCTGGCCCCAACTTCTCCCACCCCAAAACTTAAGCTAATTCTTCCAACTGCCTGTTCAGTATATCCACTGTGAGAGTGGATAGGCATCTCAAACAAAATAGCCAAAATTGAATTATAAATTTCCTCCCCAAATCTATTTCTCTTACAGTCTTTTCCATATCAGTGAATGGCAAGTCCATTCCTCCAGTTGCTCAGGTCAAAACTCTTAGAGTTATCTGACTTTCTCTGACACCTCACAGCTAATCCATCAGAAAAACATGTTGCCTTAGTTACAGGATTTGTCTAGACTTTCAACACATGTGCCCTTCACTGCTGTGAGCCGAGTTTGCTCCATCAACAACAGATCTGTACTCTCCCTGCTTTTCTCAGCTCTAGACCCTTAGAGTCTGCACACAAAAGCCAGTGATGCTTTTAAAATATCATATCATGCTGTACTCTATCTTAAATCCTACACTGACTTGTCAACTTACTTGAAATAAAGTATTATGGTCCTATAAGTCTAGACACTTGTTACCTTTCTGAGTTCAATTCTTACCATGTTCCTTATTACTTACTAGAGGCCCAGTGCACAAAAATGTGTGCACTCGGGGGGTCCCTCAGCCCAGCCTATGCCCTCTTGCAGTCTGGGACCCCTTGGAGGATGTCCACCTGCTGGCTTAGGCCTGCTCTCTGGGGGATCGGGCCTAAGCTGGCAGTCAGACATCCCTCTGGCAGCC